CCTGAACAATGCTGGGTGCTTGGCTAAATGCGCTCGGTGTATGTGTGTACATATGATGGTATTTTTACCAGCTGAGAACTCGTGAAGAGCTCATAAAACGCGTAAAGGAGTCAAAACAGCGTCAGGAATTCGTCCGTCACACACACAAACGAAGATCTGCTGCGAGGAGACGGGGTTCAAGCGCCTGTACCGAACTGTGATGGCAACGTCACGACTGAGACGAGAAAAAAAGATATGCTTCAGCGTTCTGTCCTTTGTAGGCTCGATTCTTGTGACATCACGTCCTTTTTTTGGTTCGTTTAGGTGTCCTTGGGTCGATGTTGTGGACACACACATTTACAGTGTCCGCTTTGCTAATGAGCCCCGTGATGCAACCAAACTAGATCAATCCCATTATAATCAAGTGTAAACCGCCTCAGAGTTGTCTAGTATTGTGTGGTTCTGCTCTCTTAAAATATAGACACAGTGTTACACAGGCCTGCAGATGTGTTGACTGTGATTAGAGCGTGTGGCTTCATTGATAACAGTCACACACACACACACGCTTACATTTGACTGTAACACTGCGATCTAGGTTCCAGTAAGTCCGATTTATCACACAGTCACACATTCACAGATTTACTAAGTCCTTCTGTGTGTGTGTGTGTGTGTGTGTGTGTGTGTGTGTGTGTGTGTGAATATGGTAAAGTATGAATCATACAGCTGAATGCGATAAAGAGCTTTTTCGGGAAAAGCGTGGAGAAGCGGGAAGGCAGGAAGGCAGGCAGTGTGAGTGTGTGAGAAACAGAGTGTGAGGGAAACGTTCAGAGAAAACTGTTGTTGCTTGAGTCTGTGATATTCTCCCGCTCGCTCTCTTTACCAAATCATTTTGAGTGTGTAGATTTACTTTTTGGTGCTAAATTGACTAAATACAGTAGTCACTAGAAGTTGGCTAAATCTGACGAATTATATTCAGCATTAAAAATATGTTACATATTTTATTCAGCAATGATGCATATATTTTTATCTCAAATAAATGCTTTTTGAACTTCCATTCATTAATGAATCCTAAAAAAATGTATCATGGTTTTCACAAAAATATTGATAATAATAAGAGCAGCTAATCTTGAGCAGCAAAGCAACATATTAAAATGATTTCTGAAGTTTTTCGGGGTTTTTTCTTCAGCTTTATCTAACAACAATAAAAGCATATTCCCTGTGTAGATATATTGGTACATTTATGTAATTAGTTCAATTAAACATTAGAAATTACTGCAATTAGTCTAGAGACATTCTCATTTGCAGAAACTATTCATAAATAGTTTATTGCATTCCATAACATCATTTACTCTATGTATTGTATTGTATGCATAATGCAAATATGTAATGTAGTAATTATAATGAATTCCATAAAAACACAGTATATCTAGTCTAATTTAGATAGCTAATTAAATGTGTGTGTGTGTGTGTGTGTGTGTGTGTGTGTGTGTGTGTGTGTGTGTGTGTGTGTGTGTGTGTGTGTGTGTGTGTGTGTGTGTGTGTGTGTGTGTGTGTGTGTGTGTGTGTGTGTGTGTGTGTGTGTGTGTGTGTGTGTGATGCATTTATTCAGTGTGAATATGTAGGTGTGTTTGCAGTTCTGTTTCCGACAGTCTAGATCAAAACACTCACTGGATGTGGCTTATGTCTCCGAGGCTATGAATTTTGGTGTTACATAAGAACATATACAGTATGTAGCAAATTATATTTGAAAGCAACACACACGCACACGCACACTCTCACTCACTCCCTCACTCACTCACTCACTCACTCACTCACTCACTCACTCACTCACTCACTCACTCACTCACTCACTCACTCACTCACTCACTCACTCACTCACTCACTCACTCACTCACTCACTCACTCACTCACTCACACACACACACACACACACACACACACACACACACACACACACACACACACACACACATAAAACCAGCATACTGCCCTCATCTATAATGTGTGTCATTTTCTTCGCCTCTAGAAGCAGTTTCTTCCCTTTCCAAAACTGTGCGGTTTTCTTTCCGCATAAATCTGTCTCTGCCATTTCTCTCTCTTCTCTTTAAAAATGAGGCAAAACCTTCATATTTTATTTATGTTCCTTATTCTGTCTGCTTCTAATCCACTGCTTGCTTTTCTTTTTTTCTCTTTTCTTCCTCTTCTTTTTTGCAGCGATAAAAAAGATTTTTGGAAGTTGACCCAGATAAAGGAAAAAAAGTTTGACAGCCCTGCCAAGTATCTGGGCTTGGCTTTCAGAGCTACTCCAAACCAGTTTGCTCTGGTTGGGCTGCCAGAGCAGGGGAGGGGGGGGGGGGGGTTAAAGCCCGGAATATGAGGGAATACGAGGGAGTGTGAGTGGGATTTTTTTTATTATATAACACAGAGACACAGCTTAGCATTGTGTCGGTTTCTGTTCTTAGATCAGTGCTGCTGTGTTCAGGGTGGAGCAGATCAGAAGCAGGGAAGAATCTCATTACCAGAGCAGCTCTATAACCATAAGATCTCCTAGCATGGTTAAAAAAATTACAAATGTTGAAATAGATAATTGACTTTTACATTCATTTACTCTCATTTTGTTTAATTTCTGTGGGAAAAATATGTCTAGATTGTGTATATATATCAAACTTTTAAATAATATATACACTCACCTAAAGGATTATTAGGAACACCATACTAATACTGTGTTTGACCCCCTTTCGCCTTCAGAACTGCCTTAATTCTATGTGGCATTGATTCAACAAGGTGCTGAAAGCATTCTTTAGAAATGTTGGCCCATATTGATAGGATAGCATCTTGTAGTTGATCGAGATTTGTGGGATGCACATCCAGGGCACGAAGCTCCCGTTCCACCACATCCCAAAGATGCTCTATTGGGTTGAGATCTGGTGACTGTGGGGGCCATTTTAGTACAGTGAACTCATTGTCATGTTCAAGAAACCAATTTGAAATGATTCGAGCTTTGTGACATGGTGCATTATCCTGCTGGAAGTAGCCATCAGAGGATGGGTACATGGTGGCCATAAAGGGATGGACATGGTCAGAAACAATGCTCAGGTAGGCTGTGGCATTTAAACGATGCCCAATTGGCACTAAGGGGCCTAAAGTGTGCCAAGAAAACATCCCCCACACCATTACACCACCACCACCAGCCTGCACAGTGGTAACAAGGCATGATGGATCCATGTTCTCATTCTGTTTACGCCAAATTCTGACTCTACCATCTGAATGTCTCAACAGAGATCGAGACTCATCAGACCAGGCAACATTTTTCCAGTCTTCAACTGTCCAATTTTGGTGAGCTCTTGCAAATTGTAGCCTCTTTTTCCTATTTGTAGTGGAGATGAGTGGTACCCGGTGGGGTCTTCTGCTGTTGTAGCCCATCCGCCTCAAGGTTGTGCGTGTTGTGGCTTCACAAATGCTTTGCTGCATACCTCGGTTGTAACGAGTGGTTATTTCAGTCAAAGTTGCTCTTCTATCAGCTTGAATCAGTCGGCCAATTCTCCTCTGACCTCTAGCATCAACAAGGCATTTTCGCCCACAGGACTGCCGCATACTGGATGTTTTTCCCTTTTCACACCATTCTTTGTAAACCCTAGAAATGGTTGTGCATGAAAATCCCAGTAACTGAGCAGATTGTGAAAAACTCAGACCGGCCCGTCTGGCACCAACAACCATGCCACGCTCAAAATTGCTTAAATCACCTTTCTTTCCCATTCTGACATTCAGTTTGGAGTTCAGGAGATTGTCTTGACCAGGACAACACCCCTAAATGCATTGAAGCAACTGCCATGTGATTGGTTGATTGTGATTTAGACAACCTAGGAACAGTTCAATCACACAGAACATGTTTTTGCTGTTAAGTTTGAGTTTACTTGACATAAAAGTAGCAATACAATATTGTCACAACTTTTTTGTCAAGGATAACACAATAAAGTTGCATTAACTTTTTTCCATTGTGGTTCTTGATTTTTTCTTTTGGTTTACACGACAACAGCGTTTTGGGTGCCTGAAAACGCAAAGTTTTGAAAATGGGTTTCAAAGTGCATGCTTTTAAAAACAGTCTCCGTGTAAACAACAAAAACGTGAATCTCTGAATACGATGATGTCATGCACATGCGTGTTACATGTTCAGTCTATAGTTTTCCATCGCCATCTAATGGCCTGGCAGCAGTTTTTTCATTTGTACAAGATGTTACATTATCGCCAATTGACAAGAGACAAATGTATAACATCGTATCACATGTTTAATTTTGTGTAGTTGTGTTTGTTGAACCAATATGCCACTTTTGCATTGGCATCAGTCCCATCATGTACAGTAATCGTATTTAAACATTTGTTAATTTGCATAAATATTTAAATGTAGTGTCTGCTAACACTCGCTCCCTCTCCTCTCTTTCTCTCTCTCTCTCTCTCTCTGTTCTCCCACATTCCCTCCCTTTTTCCCTCTCGCTTTCACTGCAATCCAATATAACAGCCATCAATCATGCGCATAGTCGCATACTATATAAATACACAGTTCACAGTTGAATCTCACCTGTGAGCAAGACACTAAACAGTTAACAGAGCATTTCATTCAACTGCACACTAAATCCTGGTGTTTGATTTACAAACACGAGTAAACTCTCTCCCACACACACGCTGAATAAATACAGTTGATAATGGAGCTGTGCTGTGTGGGCATACACCAGAGGCCGAGCGACGAGCGTTAGTGTTTATTGCAGCGCTGGAATTTTCCATTACCCGTGATGAGTTCAGCCCAGTAGGGAGCTGCGATACGGCCGAGAGAAGTGTTTACTGTGGGAAGAGAGAGAATGCCGCTTAGGAAGAGAGTGAAAGATGCCGGGCCGGGCAACCCACCTAACAAATGTGTGTTGTTTTATGTTGGTGTGAGAGTGCGCTAAACATCTGGGTCTGCTTGACGTAATTGGTTTTAGCTGATACAGGTCTTTTAAACCTCTTTTCTTTCTCTCTTTTAACAGGAGGCCTTCTGGTCATGCTGATAAAGAAGTGATGGCCGCCACCGTCCTGACCACACTGTCTACCAGCCCGTTGGTGCTCAACGCTTCCTCCAGTGCCTCAGGTTAAACTCCGCTCTGACCCCGTCTTCCATGCTAGTGCTCGCCTCCCTGTTAACTGATAGATCCCAGAGCGTTCAGGTTGAGTGACGGCTCGTCAAACAAGCTCTTAACCTCCATAAGTGCCCAAAAGAACTACTGCTTTCTCCAATTTTATTTGATTTATATCGAAAATGGCTTTAATGAAGTGTGTGATTTCTGTGCCACTAAACAGAATTGCAAAAATAATGGTTGTTTTCGAACATCGTCTTTTCAAACTGATAGTCCCGGCCCAAACTCACGCCATTGGTTGAGCCAGTGTTCCTGGTGAATTAGTGGTGCAGGTATAGGGCTGGGACGGTTACCGCATTACCGCAATACCGCGGTCACGTGACTCCAACCGCGGGTCTGAGCTCGTCACCGTCATCACCGCAAAAAAAAAAAAAAAAAAAAAAAAAAACATTGGCCTGCACATGTGTGCACGTTGTGTCTAATGATATGGATTCATTGATTCTAATGACATGGATTATTTCTAATGATAGTGTGTCTTACATGGATTCAAGGTTTTCTAAACAAAACTTATCAAAAGATGGAGCAAATCCCTTTCGCGAGTTGGGGAGCGCAATTTTCCATGACACATAGCATTACATTCGTATTAGAGATGCGCGGATGGGCTATTATTATTTCATCCGCAACGGAACCGCAGCACAAAACGCATCATCTGTCCGCCAACCATCCGCACCAACGTTTTTTGATCAATTTTCGTTTTTTGATTTTTTTTAATCAGTTTTAAGGTCTATAAAAGCGGTGCTGCTGCCGCGAGGCTAGAAAGCTCTTGGCTGTTCTAGAAAGGAGACTGCGCATGCAGCAAAGATATCTAAAGGCTAAAGTCCATAGTATAGCCTATTGGCTATGTTGTATCCTCAGAATATCAGCAGTGAACTCCGTCTCCGATGGGCGCACAAGTTTCGGTTCATTTATGAGACGAGCTCCAGTTCACGCGCAAGAGATCGCACCGTCGCTTCCACATCGTCCTGGTTATATGTCTGCTATATTTGTATAATTCCAGGCAATTAGTTAATGAAACAGTGATTAAAATTAAGATACAATTTATACAAAACGAAATTTAATTTAAAGAAAGGCTTTCTACAAAACAAAACTTAATAAAGTGGTCAAAATCATGTCTGACCCATCTTATGATCCTATCTTACTCATGGTGTTCACTTTTCATATAATCGACATAGATTAAATAAAAAATAACATTATATTATGTTAACATAAATATGGAATATCATTTTTGTAATTAAGACATGTTGGAAAAGCTGTTCATCTTTCATTTCGTTCAACATCATAATGTATTCTCCTGAAAATGATGAATTCAATGCGAATGTATCTGAGAATATTCTTAAATTAGGAAATCTATTCAGTGATTGGTTCATGCCAAATTACAGCTTAATGAAAATCGGACTCTTTCAAATTGTGCTCGTTTTTTTTCGGGGGGGGGGTTGGGTGTTTAAAGCGGTTTACCGCTATACCGCGGGAATATCTTGCTTTTCAACCGCGGTTAGAAAAAATCCATACCGCCCCAGCCCTAGGTATGACGTCACTTCATAGGCCAAACGGCAGTTCGCATCACAACTGGTTCCCTTGATAAAAACACAATAGGTTTTTTTTCATCGAATTTTGAATTATCTAAAAAAAACAAGCTCTGTGATCAACTAAAGTTTATGATACTACACGTTTGGTCAATCAAGATACATATCACAGATGAACACAACTTTTATGAATTTTGAAGCCTAAATGCAGTCACCAGAAGTGAAAGCTAAAGGTAGGCTATAAACGAACTACACCACAGTCGCTCGACTTCAAAGTCACAACTCTTTCATTTTTATCTAAAAACATTTCCCCAGAAAGTTTGAGTTGGCAATAGTTTATAAGAGCACAATTCCCTACTTTACCTTTAAGATTTCTGGATGTAAATGGCCTCTGTTATGATTGGCTAATCTCAGCATACCAGCGTAGTTCACACATTAGTTCATTAGACTAGCTGTTGTAAGTGTGACTACAAAATAAAGCCATAGCCACAAAGATTTCTAAACGGGATGTTTTTGCAGATTTGTTTCACAAAAATAGTCTGCTGAAATGAGTTTTGCATGAATATAATCAGAGGTCTACATGGTCATCGGACTCATATTTCAAAAAGAGCAAGAAAAGTCCTGTATTCCATTTCATGTCCCCTTTAGCATGATGAAAGTAAACCCAGACTTGCTTTTGAATGGGTTTGTAAGTGCAGCGACTGGTCCGTCCTTCAGCTCAGGGCTTCCAAAACCAAAAGTATGCTGACAGATTTTCAGAAGAAAAGACAATAGACATTGTGCAGCAATAGAAGTGCTTGAGCTCTCGCATTTATGTTTTATTAGACTTTGAATCAAAAACTTGTTTTGTCCTTGAATGAACATGACACCCTCATGTTGTTCCAAACCAATGTGACACAAAAGAAGATGTTTTGAGTAATATGGCGGTTGCTCTTTTCCATGCAGTTAGAATAATTGGGTTGAATGGGTACTAATGCTTTCAAGCTTCAAAAGCTTTTAATCTCAAGTTTAATCATTCACTTGGAGTCAGTGAGTTGAACTTAAAAAAAAGGATCATTTTTGTGAACTGCATCAACTGATTTGTTGAACAGAACTATTCCTTCAAGAAGTGAAGCCAAAGATTGTTCTTTTTTTAAAGAGCAGGATTTTTAATGTTAACTGGACTGTGGTGAAAGCGTTCTTGTATTGCGTTTGTTCTGACCTTTTCAGAGATTCTAGAACAAAATGAAAAGTGAGAGTATTCTTAAGCTGTGTCACTCCGCAGTCCCTTACATTTGTGTCTTGGAAGGAACAGGCTGTTTTAATGGATCCCCTGAACTTTTTCCATGGAGGATTTCCCTCTTGTTTGTTGCTTCAGTTATTGAGTTACTCAAATCATCAGCTATCATGCGGTCTTAGCCGACCTTCTCTGGTTTTATATTGTACTATTTTAGTTGGCCAACATTAGGCTACATCAGTGATGGATTGTGGAGGAACAGTTTATTTATTAATGCTTTATTGTTAATATAGGGGAGATTGGGGTGTCCGTTCAAAAGTTTGGAATCGGTAAGACTGACTTTTATATTTTTGAAAGAAATTAATGAATTGTTCAGCCATTAAACTCTATCCGTGTTCTGATTGGTTCATTCAGTGTAACGTTGTCAGCTAATCGATTTCACGTATTCATTGTCAATTCCTTTTGTAACCAATACACATCCAAACGAATACACTGTTCCTGCATGCTATGCAAATTCGTATTCTAGCCCTCCGCCTCCCCGGCACCACCTGCCTAGATCTGCTACGTGTACTACTGTATTTTTCATCAAATAAATGCAGCTAGAGACTTTTATCAAAAACATTATGAATTCTCACTTAGCCTGAACTTTTGATCGGTAGTGTGCATAATATTTATCACTTGATCATATACTTAGAAAGGGTGCCGCATATACAGCTGTAGAGGTTCAGTGATTAATAAAAAAATTCTACATGGCAGTTCAGCGATAATGATAGCAACAGTAAAATTTGCCTTCATAAACTGGAAATAAAGACTGCTACAAATTTTTTTGAAAATCGGTTCACTACATTCAAATATTCTGAATATTAAACCTTTTCCTTTATGAAAATAAGAATGTGCAGCAAAAAAAGACTATAAACTTTTTCACCTCCATTGCTGGAATTTCCGGCTTTCCATGTTTTCACTGTTATATAGTAGGGGGTGCTATTACACATCTTCTGAAACAGTACTGAATCTCCAGATCAAAACACTGGTGAAGAAGAAGCAGAAGCAAGTGATATTTGTAAGCAGATGCATATGTAAAATAACACGATCATCAACATTAAACAGAATATAAATCAAAACTGCCTAATATTACTGAAAAAAATGTTAACCCAGGAAGAGCTATGTCACAGTGGGTTGCAGGAAGGCAGACGAAGAAGAAGATAATTTCCAATACAATGTTTTAATGATAATCCAGAAGACAGGGGTGGTGATGGGAGGACCCTTGGCAGTGACGATGGAGATGGTTCGCAAAGCACAGACCCAGTGCCGACAGACCACGGCAGACTAGAGAGAGAGAGAGAGAGAGAGAGAGAGAGGGAGGAGTCCAGATGGTGACGAGGCTGATGACAACTAGGGGACGACCGACAGAGACAGAGCCGGTGGATACGCAGGCGCGAGGAAGCGGAGCGACATCGCTGGTGCAGGAGACCCAGGCGATGTCGCGGCGACGAGCGTCGTAGTTGGAGCCAGAGTACCCGAGGGCTGAGGTGGAGCCGGTGTGAGTGAGGACAGAGGCGATGCCGACGGGAAGGAGGAACCTGCTACAGCCAAAGGGGTGGAGGGACGAAGCGCAACGGATGGCCCGCAAGTCCGTGGCGGAAGTGGTGTGACGACTGACTAAAGGGGAGCCGGTGGGACGAGGGAATCTGGAGGAGCCATTAGACTGAGGGTCTCTGGTGGAGCCAAAGGTGGGAGGAGCCAAGACGAGCCGACAGGTCGGCGGGCCGAGATGGAGTGAAGGGATCCGAGGCCGGAGGCGGAGCCGAAGGATCCTCCAGGATAGGGCCTGCGGCTCGATGTCAATGCAGGGACTCCCGGAGATGGCGCAGGGCTGCAAGCATTCGGCAGCGATGGGACTGGAGGACTGGCTGAGCTCTGTGGTGCTGCCGATGAAACAAGACTTGAGAGAACAAAGGTAATCATGACACAGTTCACACACTGGATAAAGCAAAAATTAATTCCCAGTTCTCACAGTTCTCTTTGAGTAATACAGATGATTCAGATAGTGGGTGGGATAGGGTGGCAGTTGACAAGTCCCTGTCGAAGTCTATCAGCCAGTCCTCCGTCTCAGTTCCCTCGGCCGCCGTTGTCTCGGGCTCACACCCCTGGTCAGGTCTGGGGGGGGGTTCACGTGACTTCTCCGCGGTTGTGAAACGGGCTCTGGGTCTGGCAG